GTAGTGGTGGTGGTGGTGGCGGTGGCGGTGGCGGTGGTGGTGGTGGTGGTGACGGCGATGAACAAGATTCTTATGATGATGATGATGATGATGATGATGATGATGTTGTGATGGCTCCTGGTGCAAAAAGCTCACCATTGCTGCTCCAGCTAAACTTGTTCTTGCTAGTAGCATTGGTCTTGTGCCTATGGTTGGCATTTGCCTATATAGTAGGTTTCCCGTCTGTTGTCTCCACCTGTGAAGCGTTTGCTAGTTTACCTTGCCACATTGAGTAGCTATACTAGTACATAGTACCAGTAGTAGCAGTGGCAGCAGTCGTAGCAGTAGTAGCAGCAGTAGCAGTAGTAGCAGTAGTAGCAGTAGTTGTAGTAGGAATAGCAGCAGCAGCAGCAGCAGCAGCAGCAGCAGCAGCAGCAGCAGCAGCAGCAGCAGCAATAGCCGCATCAGAGTAGTAGTAGTAGTAGTAGTAGTAGTAGTAGTAGTAGTAGTAGTATAGTATCAGCAGTTGTTGTCGTAGTGGTAGCAGCAGTAGCAGTAGAAGTAGCAGCAGTGGTGGTAGTAGTAGCAGTAGTAGTGAGCAGTTCTGTTGATGATGCTGGGGGCGTGCATCAATTCAGCTTCGAGCTGTAGACAGGTGTAATACCTATAAAATGTGCGTGCAATTGGCGGCCCGCGAAAGCAGGTAGAGGCTTGGACCGTGCGTGCCTGGACTGCTGGAGGCTCAGCCAGCCACAGTTTAGCTTTAGGGTTTAGGGTTTAGGGTTTTGGGTTTAGGGGAACCGTAAACAAGAGTCCAAAGAGGCCCCTAAGCAAAACTCTGCAACACGAGCTCGAAATGAGTCGCCACGACCATTGCGAAAAAGAACTCGAAGGCATCGTGCTGTGCGATCCTCTTGATACACGAGTCCTTCGGTTTTGGGATTATGGTTAATCTGGATTTTGCAGTATCTTTGAAATCCTCGCCTGGGCATTGAAGTCTTCTTGAAAGCGGGACTCTCCTCAACTGTAAACCCTGACAGGATGATTAGGGTTTAGGGTTTAGGGAACCCTGCCGCAGCTTGAAGACACCCCATTCCTGAGAGATTTGTAAGAATGCTGCACCATCTTTATGAAATCGTGGCTGGGGGGTTGGTGGGGCTGCTGCAAACCCTAAACCCTAAACCCTAAACCCTAAACCCCTAAACCCTAAACCCTAACGTAGAGGGGGAATCATGCCGAAAGCCAGAGAGGCTGAAGCCAGCAGAACTCCTACGGTTGATGATGTAAAGCCTGCAGTACCTTAAGGACCCTAAACTGTGGGAATTCTGGCATTTTCTTTATTCTGGGTAGTGCAGGATTTAGATCATCAACCGTAGGCCCTTGGCCTAAATCTTAAGTAGCAAACAGCACTTACATCGCAACCTTCAAAGCCAACAGGCTTTGACCTTGAAGCCACCGAAAAACTGCACAAAGCCTGCTACCCGCTAGCTCTGCACCTTAAGCTCACGTCGCGGCAAGAGCAAAAGACAGAGGCTCCGGTTCAGGCTCCAGGTGGGAATTTCTTCATCTCTGGGGGAACCTTATCGAAGAGTGCGTATGATGTTATTAAGGTTTAGGGTCTAGGGTTTCGGATGTCGGGTTCTTCGGCATGTGGACCCCAACTATCTGAAACTCTCAGGCTCTGAAGTTGGACCAAATTGTGCACGCCCCCGTGTCCGTATGCATCTGCATCTTCTGGAAACCGAGGGCGACCTGCGCATGGCGCGATATGTCATAACGTAGGGGCGTAAATATCTACCAATACTATTTGGGGGCGTTCCTTATTATCATTATTGTAAAACCCCTTATGCATGCTGCAC